TAACATATTGTATATTATGTATATGTCCCCAAAGAAAAAGTAAAAGTGCAGCATAAAGCAATTAATAAAAAATACAAAACAAGCAATAAAATGAAAACCTACTTGTCTTCAGAAAGTTAAGAATTAATAATTCTGTCAATGTTCCATGTGTTTAATACTAGTTTCAAACAAAAACTTTGCATTTTCTTGTTTGGGATGGCGGGGGAAAGCTGCACCAGAGATCTTTCTTATGAATTAAAAAGGCAGAAAGATTCATGGATACACTAAAAGAAAGAGCCAAAAGTAGACAAAACTTGCTACAGACAGATTTATTATTCAGAAGTTAACATCTTTGTTTTCCGGGAAAAAAATTCTGTACCACCTTTTCTACAAAAGATATAATTGTACTTGCTTACATTATACAGTATTTTATTCTTTCTTTTATCAGCAATGAGAAATGCCATGAACATTACACCACTGAGTTCCTGTACAACCTGTACTCCTCAGAGGGGAAAGGAATATTTGATTGCAGAATTAATGTTTTAGGCCATCTCCAACAGGTATGTAGAGCTAAAGGTCATGAGATTACATTAGCATTTTGAGGAGGCATGAGCTAGCTGATTAAAATTTGTAATGGAGGGAATCACTGCAGACATCACATGATAAAGAAATTCTTACGTACTTACTAAAGCTTACCTGCCATTCTAGTAAAAAAATGAATCTGAGAGGATTATACTGCTATTTATATGACAAACTTTAAAATTTAAATTTAAAATTTTAAAATTTAAAATTCAATATAAGTCATAATTATTATATATCTCTATTATATATGCCATTATCAAATGGAACCATCTACTCAAGAAGGAGGAGGACAACTGAAAAACAGTAAGCCCATCCTAGGCCTTCATGGGCAATCCAGAAGGATACCATGATTCATGGCACTGAAGGCTGCTGTAGATCCAGCAGGATCAGGAAAGCTATACTCTCCTCATCCCAGGCACACCACAATTTATCAACAATTGGTGTCATCAAGAAAATACATATTTAGTAAGAGCTTTCTCAGTTCAGGGCTATATAATTAATAGTTATTTTCCATCTTGCACTTGCCTAGACCTTGTTGCTTTTAGCTATTTCCCACTTTTGCAGAACATATTTGCAAAATGGCTTCTGAGTTAAATGGTTCCAGTCAACTATACAGCAGCTCAGCCTCTTCTACAACAGGATTGGCATGGCTGTTATTTTGGCTCTACTTTTACTTTCCTGTCTCTAGGGAGGTGCTCCAACCCCCTTTGACCGCAACTATGGTACCAAGCTGGGTGTGAAAGCTGTTTTATGGATGTCAGAAAAGTTGAAAGAAGTGTACCGCAAAGGTAGATCATAATTATCATCTCAATGATAGAAGATGTTGATGCCATTGCATGCTGTAACAAAAGAAGATGCTCAGAGCCTATTGGCAAAAGGAGATGAAACAATATGCAACAAATTGTGGAAAGACTTGCTTTCAAACAAAGCTATAGATTAATCATTCTTATCAGAATGATTATCATGAAGCTAGTTTCCTGTGGGTAAATTATATAATTATTTATAAAAGTTTAGGAAGCTTTCAATCATTTGGTAGTTGTTGCAATATCCAGAATTACATATCCAGATACCTCGTGTAAAACCAAGGCATTTATGTGATGAGATGATTTTCTTGCATTACAAGTAAAGATTCTCTGTTTCTCTAGGCCGAGTATTTGCCAATTCTGCAGAATCTGCTTGTGTCATTGGCCTGCGTAGGAAGACTGTGTCCTTTAGTCCTGTGACAGAGCTTAAAAAGGTCACCGATTTTGAGTAAGTATATTGGTGGAGTATCACCAAAGTTCTAAGAAGGAACGCTGATATGCTGGAAATTATGACATATAGAATGATGTCAGATACTTTGTTCATGCATTGATCAGTTAGTTGAATTTCCTTTCTGTCTGCTGATGTAGTTATGATACATAATTATTCCTTTTGAAGATCTTTTCAGAACTGTACTACATATATTGAATCTAAAAGTGAGCTGTGGTACTTCTTGACTATTATATATCTACTTTTCTCTTGAGCTTTAGAGAATGTAGAGGTCTAACTGGTAGCTCTGCCCCATGATTTAGATATTCTGAGATTGTTGGTTAGAGAGACATGGTATGCATATATTCAGAGCTGCTTTGTGGTTGCATCACCTATGCCAGATTGGTATTCATTCAGAGTTTGTTTGTTTTTCGGCAGACACAGGCTTCCTAAGGAGCAGTGGTGGCTGAATTTGCGCCTTATGCTGAAGATGCTGGCCCACTACCAGATCAGTCTAACTGAATATGTAACTGGAAAGATGGAACATGTCACTCGGCGTACACTCAGCATCGAGAAGGGATTCTAGCTAGTCTTCCCTTAGCCATGTATCAGATCAATTCTGTGTAGTTCTCTCCCTTTCTGGCCTTCTCATGCCTTTCGAGTGCAAAGCTGATGCCACTGTGAGTCTACAAGAGCGTGGCCAGAAGAAAGCCTGCCTTTGTTGCAGAATTACTCCATGCCCACACCGATTCTTACATTCTTTCTTGCCCACTGAGGAGCATGGATGGGTTCACTTATCCTTCCTCAAACCTCTTTGTTGCCTCATGAAGTAGAGGGTATACAATGCCGGTCAGAATTTGTTCCTATTTCACAGGGTTTTTGAAACATTCCTACATTACTTAGAAGAATTATGTACTGATTACCAGTGGACAATGTGCTACTTTAGATTTTGATTGGCCTGGTGCCATGAAGAATGCAAGTTTTCAGAAAGGGACTTCCTGTAATTTAGAGAAAATAGTTTCCCAAAAAGTCTCCTTGGGAAAATGCTCTAAAATAACCAAGGATTCCTATTGCCATCACTATTGACGCACAGCAAAGATCCTTCTTAGCAGAAGGAACATGTTTGCAATATAACAACAAACAGTAGGAGAGGTCTTCTTTCTTCCCATCCCTCCCTCACTTGAGGTAGTTCATGCCGACCAGGGTAGTATTTCTGAGTACTCAGCAGGAGTTGCTGGTATGCCATCATTCTCCTTAGAATCCCATTCTTCCTTCTGTCTGGCTCATGTATTTAATTCACTATCCCTGGCTGGTCTGTGATGATGGCACAGCTCGACTGTTGTGTCTGTACCTTTCTGGTGCATTTCTGTGCATTCAGTGCCCTATATTGCCTGTTTGTCCGTGGCATTGCTTTCTGTCCTGTAGAGATATTAAAACATGCACTGAGTCAATTCTGTGTATGCTCAAATTGTGTTTTTGGTTGGAAATCGGCCTCAGATCTGCAAGATGTGATAAGTTAACAGGTGTTTAAATTCCAGCCTTATTGATACCTGATTCTTCACTGAGAATATCCTTGCTAAATAGGGTTGAGTAAAAGACAGAAGGCAGGATAGCTTATAACTATAATATGTTAGTTTATAACTATATAAATTTTCATACTAAGAAGAGACATTGGAATTTAAGATGCTGCATTTGTTCAAAAGTTCAATTATTTGATTTCGTAATTGGAAATTGCAGTTCTCTGTTATCTTAAAAATTGATGTTTTTCATTACTGCAGTCTGATCCTTCAAGATGAAAATGCAAGGTATGCACATGCTCTGACTTATGTTAATAAGACACTGGCGTGCAAGGCATCTAACACATAACCTGTTGCATCTCAAATCATCTTTAATCCAATAAGATAGGTGCCAATTCTCATGACATACAATTGTTAATTGAAAAAGTTTGTTTCATGGAGAATTAAGAAATTATGAGAATTTGAGTTAAACAGTGGTAGATTTGGGGAAGGAGGCGAGAGGGGAAAAGAAGGAGAATATACTTGAGACTACAGTATAGTGCACCTCTCAGGACCTGGATATAAAGAATAGAGCAGAATGAGTTGTTCTATGAAGATTATAGCAAAGTTATTGGTCAAGTGTGCTAGTTGGTTCAGTTGCTCTAACAAATGAAGACTAAAATCCACTAAACAACAGAGTTCATGTCAAAAGTTATAAAACTGCACAATTTCTCAGGATAAGTTATTTATAATTGCATCACGAAAAGCATTGCTGTTAGTGAAGAGACCTTCCTGTGAGGCATTGAGGCAGTTCCAGTCAGTGGAAAGTTCAACTCAGCGGCTTTCAAGGTTTTCATTGCTTGTCTACACAAATGCTATCCGTTTTGTTGGGGGGGGGGGATATCATTGTTCTTTCAGGGTTGTGTTCATGAAGATAATCTTGAATACCATAAGTTCTTTTCAATTAGAAAAAAAAATCATTGCCCAGTTCAACAGATGATTTCAGGTAGATTTCTTTGCTGGGCTTGTGTAAGAATAAGTAGCTCAAGGCAGAGAAAGAATGTGCTGTGATAAACAGCAAAACATCTCATAAATTTACTAAAATTCTTACTAAACACATTGGTAGAAACGCCCTTATCAGCTTTAGGACACAATGTCCGGAATACAAACCTCTCATGTTCTGAAACAACCTGAGTTCTTGCTGCTATTGCTATTACATTTTATTATGCTATTTCCCCAATATTGCCTATGTCTTCACAATATTTCTATAAAGTATATCAAGCTATGTTTTAGCCTAAAAGGTGGTAACTGGACTATGATCACCCACCTATTGAGTACTAACTACCATAGAGCCTGGTCTTTTCCCCATTGGGTATTTCAAACTAAATACGTCACACTGATGCCTGTAGTTATTATTCTCTTTTAAGTGTCTGTGTAATAGGACAATATCTTTTTTTAAATGATATATGTCTTTTTAGACATGAATCATTCTGTACTTTAAAACTGCTTTTGCTGGTTTCCGTGTTCCAACAGCTATTCTAAAAGACAAGCTGCAGGTGCACAAACTAAGGCCTTGTTCAGAATTTTGACCTCATAAAGTTAAACACAAAAGATTGAAAAAAGGAAAATTTTTATATTTTGTGATTTGAGAAACATTTGTGAAGTTTAAACTATATTCTTTATTGATATGTGGCATATTTAATGTTTTTTTCCTTTTTTCAGTCTTTTTGTGTTTGACTTCATTAAGCTTTTTTCACTGGAATATAATACCTTTGTGAATATATTTAAGTTTCACTAAATATAGTTAGATGACATCTTTGATGTTCACACTTCCTTGACAGCAGCATATTCTATAGCAGATAATGCAATATAACCAATTTTTCCAAGATTATATGCTGGATTTGTCTTATAGTCCAGTTCTCAAAGCAATTCAACTTTTCTGAAAAACATGTACCGTATTTTCCGGTGTATAAGATGACTGGGCATATAGGATGACCCCCAACTTTTGAGAAGATTTTTATGGTTTAGAAAGTCATCTTATACACCGGAAAATACAGTAGTTGGTTAGTATCTGCCCAGTTTTTTTGCACTAAAAAATTCCTTGCTATCTATAAAAGAATATTCAAATATAACAGATGTCTTTTTATTTAAAACTTTTACAAATGCTATCTTCTCCACATCCTCTGAATTACTACTATTCTTTTGATAAGCCATATTTACCACAGTTTGAGCAAAACTCTTGATTCCTATGTAGGTTTGAATAAAGATAATGCTTCCAGAACATAACTGTAAGGTCAGAGATAAGCATTTACATTGTGCAAGTGTTTATCTTGAAGTCCTGATCACAGGAAAGAAGCACTGGCTTTAAAGCATCTGTTAGAAAGCACACATAATGTTTAGAGTCACGGCAAAACCAAAGGACTTAGCCATTTTTTTGCATACTTAAAATACTGGATGCCCAATTAAGTATCAAGGACTAAACATCAGAATCTGAAAAACTTGAACTTTTAAGTGTTCTACAACACTGAATTTCCTATACATCACTGAATCACTTAGCTTACACATAATTTCGTCAGCATTTTTAATCAAATAGGTGAAGCTGGATAAAAAATACATTTTCCCACCAAACTAGATCATAGAAATAAATATTTTTAGACTGTAAAGTAAAATTTATTTTCATGCATGTGGTAATTTTAACAGAAGCAGGAAATCCCAAGTTACAAATGGAACCTGCTGCAAACCAAATTAGTAAGGGCCAGATAGTCCCATCCATCTTGAGATAAACACTGATCTGGATCAGAGTTCTATAAATAATCAGCAAAAAAGTATATAATTTTTAGCCACAGTCATTAATCAAACAATGTTCATATTATGGAAGGAAAATTTTACCTATTTCATGGCATAGTGGTGCTCCTGCACTAGACGTAACTTGACAGGCTAGAGCACCCACTATCTCAAATAATACTGTACTGGATTTTGCTGCTTCCTTATATAATCACATTGATGTTGTATCCTCCCCTCCATGAAGCCTTTATTTTTTAGGCGGCTTTGGAAGAATTAATGGACTGAAAGAAATCTTAAGTTTTGTAAGATGTAAGTGTAATTGGTATTGCAAGTGATAATTCCCGCCCCCACAAACATAAATTTCAAGTTACTTAGCAGAGGAGGAATGAGGACAGCAAACACTTGACTTCAAGCTTTTAATTTAAACATTCAATGATTTTCTTTTTATGAATTTTAACTTTTTATGAAATTCTGGGTTTGAGGCAGGATTGTCAAACACTATTTAATGGAGAAGGAAAAGGAAGAGACATGAAGATATGAAGCTTAGACTTGCTCCAATATTGGGATATTAGGGAAGGCCACGATGCTAACCAAGTCAGATGCATCACAGATGTGGTCTGACAAAGGTATGAGTAAACAAGTCTAGGCATGATTCTTCCAGCAGGAAGGCACTAGCAGGAGATGAAGTACATCCTCTTCCAAATGTTAAATATTTGTCTACAAATAGACGTAATCTATACGTGCTTGTTTGCTATCTCTGCCGCCAGCCATTTTGGAAGGCAGAATAAGAGTTGTAAAATGCAGGCATGTACATTGTAGATGAAAAATTATTGTAGAACATGGTTCTAAGCACAGGAAACACAAGATGTGCTTGTTTTTTCTGTAGAAAACCATCCATTCTCGTAGGAAGTCCAACAGCACACAAAGAATGCTAGTAGGACTAGTGAAATAATTTTTGCTGATCCAGAAACAGTTCCTTGGAGGTGCTATCGGTCCTCATGGAGTTCCTTTTTCTGCAAGACTTGGAGTTTGTTTCCAATTGTTTGATGGATGACTTCTAAACCCTCTGAATCTAGCTCTTCTAGAAGTAACATGATGGCACTGAGGATATTATTCTGTTAAGGTGACAAAAAACAAAATCAGAGCAGATCATAGAACTAATTACTGCGCAGAAGCAGTCTAGTCCTCTTATTACTATAGGTAATCCTCAACTTATGACTACAATTGAGTCAAAATTTTCTGTTTCTAAATGAGACAGTTAAGTGAGTTTTGCCCCATTTGATGACCTTTCTTGCCATAGTTGTTAAGTGAATCACTTCGACTGTTAAGTTAGTAACATGGTTGCTAAATGAATATAGCTTCCCAATTGACTTTGCTTGCCAGAAAGTCACAAAAGGTGATTGCATGACTCTGGGACATTGCAACTATCATAAATATAAATATGAGCCAGAAGCTTCTGAACGTTGATCACATGACTGGGGGATAATGGAACAGTTGTGTGAAAAACGGTTCATAAATCATTTTTTTCAGTACTGTTGTAACATTGAATGGTCATAAGTTGAGGATTACCTATACCTCACTGTTCTCCAATCTGTTCTCACATATTTAAGCAAATTATGAATAGACCTGAATTTCACAGAAGATAGATTTAGCAATGGCACAACACAATTGGAACAACTATGGCAAAAGAAAGCAAACAAGGTATTGAGAGTAATAGGGCACCGATTCCCAAAAAATCTTGACTACCAACTAGAACACCGTTATCGACATCATCACTATCAGTCAATTGCAAATGGGAGATTTACTTGGAACAGCTTACATCCTGCAATAACTTTTACCACCATCAAACGACATCATCTCTATCCCATGTCTTTGGGAAGGACAATAGATAAAAATGCCAAAACCAGTCTAAACATCTGTGACTGTGCAATCAATCATAATAACTTGATGTATATGAAGGTAATGATTTTGTCAGTGTCAATGATATTCATGTGGTGCTCCAAATGTTTTGAGATTGTATCCAAGATGCTCTATTGCTGGTACTATCTTTGCTTTCTTTTGTCACAATCATTCTACCTGTATTTGCAGGTCCTTGCATTTTGTTATTTTCTCCAGTTCTTTCTTTTCTTTTTGGCTGTCTCCAGGTACTGCCACATCCACTGTCCAGACTTTTTTGTCTTTCTTATTGACAACTGTTAAGTCTGGGGTGTTATGTGGCAGGTGCTTGTCTATCCCAGAGCACTTTAGTTTCTTCATTTTCTATTACTTTTTTAAGTTCCCAACAGTTCTTGCTTGTAGGCAAGTGGTATTTCTTGCAGATATTCCAATGCACTATTGTTGCTACTTTGTTATGCCATATTTGTAATGAGTTGTTGGTCACTGTTTCTTTAATTAGCTTGAATTACCTCTAACTAGCTTCTTTGCAGAGACAGCATTTGTTTTCTGTTGCTGTCTTCTCAATTCTTTCACTGTAACAATGCAGCTGAGCAAGACTGATTATTACCTGAGTTTTATACAATTGTTTAGTGCAAGATAATACATCATATGATCCAAAATATACAGAACTATGGATTTTGGGATGGTGAAGACTCTTATACTCACCCATTTTGTCTGGCTACCACCTACTTCTTTGGGTGAAAATGTATCTTTTGGAACAACAGGCTTCATACCAAGCTGCTCACGGATTTTACTGTACAAGAGGAACAAAAGTAAAAGAATGATCTAATGCAAGGTTCTATTAACATGTAACCGGCAAAGTAATATATTTAAACAGTTGCACACAAAATTAAATATTTCTGCATACTTAAAAATCATAGCATCCCTTCTCATATTACAAATTGTTTACACAAGTGAGAAATAATTTTTTTCTTCAGATTGAACCACATGTTGGACAAAGCATTTTACATAAATTAAGTCCAGAAAATAAATGCTAACAACAAATAACAGAGCTCGCCTCACTTTGTCTCTTCAAGGCTGAAGTTCATGAGTTCATTTTCTGTTGTACATTCTGTCGTGCTGGACTCAGTATTAGAATATTGGCAGCAGCTGTCTCCATCTGTTTTAGCTGGGGATGTTGTTATCTCTTCTCCTTCTACTAATGCATGTGTCAGTTCTTCCTCTGTCACCACTACAGAAATCAAACAAAAACCAACGGGGGGGGGGGGAATATTATTTATTTATTCTTACACTGTTTATAGTCCATCCTATCCTAGAGGACCCTCAGCAGTTTACAGCAACATTTTTTTAAAAAATAAATAAAAAGTATTTCAAGCAGATTCATCATAGCAATAGCACTTATAAAGCACCACATAATGCTTTACTGCACTCTGGGCAGTTTATAATATAAACATATTTCCCCCAACAATCTGGGTTCTCATTTTATTGATCTCAGAAGGATGGAAGGCTTAGTGAACCTTGAGCCCTGTCAGGCTCGAACTCTAGGCTGTAGGCAGAGTTAGCCTGCATTACTGCACTTTAACCACTGCATCATCAGGGCTTTTCGTATTAAATTGAAGCCTATAGAATGTTTGATATCGTCCTATATATTATATTTGATGTATTTATTAATACAAGGCTCCTTTGATCATAAAACCTTTGGCTATATACCATTCTTCCAACAGTTAATTTTATGAATTGATAACTGTAGAAAAACTGCTTCTTTCACATTTGAAACTAGGAATATATTAAAGAATGTATTTATCAAAAATACTGTTCCATTGATAAACATGTCCCGAATTTTATAAAATATTAGAGAAAGAATAAAGTATGAGGAGCCAAAATTTGTTGCCACTTTTTTTTAATCTTCTGAAGTTTAAATATGCATTTCAACAGCAGATAATTCTTTACACAAGGCAAGAATAGCATAGGCTTAATTGTAAACTAGCTGACAGAACATTGTTACTCTTTTGAGCTCCAGAAAGACTGGAAAAAAATTCAGCCTCATTTTTTCTGAGGACTAGAAATGGTATACTGGGGAGGGCTGCAAACTGTTCAAAGGTTGCCCACCAGAATATTAAAGAGATATCTAATTGTTGGGAATCCAACAATGCTGAGCTTCTGTGCACTTTTTCCTGACAAGGAGTTGTTTTCAATGAAACAATGAATACCCTCCCCTCATTAGTTCAAAGAAATATTAATTCAAAGTTAAATCTCATTTTGCGACACATTTCTTCTTAAGCTTCTCACACACCCCACCAAGAAATGTGCTGCTATACACACTTTTATTGTCTAGCTTTTGGAGATTGGGAAGATTACGCAGAACTGTCATTCTGTAGCGATGGTGGTCAGATCCACAGCAGGGATTCTCAGTCATCCAGAGGATTCTCAGGCGGGGCAGTTTTTTCAAATGGAACAGTTCATGGAGGCTTGAAATACAGTTTCTCCTGAGGTAAAGCTCAGTTAGCTTCTCGCACTGGTTAAAGGGTTCCAGACTGGAGATGTTATTTGCACTAGAGAAGAAAACAAGGGCAGCATTAACAACTACAATTCTTCTAGGTCAGCTGAATAAACATATGTTTGTGCCCTTTCTTATGGTTCTATAGAACACCTGAAACCATGAACAATAAGTGGAGAAATAAAAATAACTAAACCATTACATTTAGATTGTCCATTACATTTTCAACATTTTGAAACCAGAATATAGCATTGGACTGCACACAATGATATTCAAAATTACTCATTTCCTAAAAGAGTACAAGTCTTGATTGCTTTAATTACTGGACCTAGGAGTAGAGATTGGGTCAGTAACTAAAAATGCATTGAATAAAAAGAAAGTAAAAGACGATAAGTCTGGGATTCACAGTACAGAGCTATGATAATGCGCACTTATAAACTACAGAGAGATCAGGGATCAAAAATAAATTCCTGAAATGATATGTAAATACACACATAGACAGCAAATATATAAAGAGATATTCAAAATATTTAAATGATGGATTGCTAATTTGTACAGTTAATGAAATGAAAAATGAAGAACTGTAATTTTCTTCCTTGTGATCTGGTGTTATTAAAAAAACAATAATTTAAAGCATAGAAAAGAGGGTACGTATGGCTGGAGGGGTAGGTTAGGCACATAATGTAGAAACATGAGATTACACATGCATGATCCAAAATTGAAATAAACCACTATATGACTTTCCACTGAACAATTATCTATAGATACAGCTAAAGAAGTTTGAAATTTTGCTAAAAATTAGAACTTAAAAATGATACACGAAGACACAATGATTGAAGAAGTACAATGCCTGAATGCTTAAGAAATAATAAGGATTTTCTTTCAAGTTCCATGTTGAAAGTAGGACCACTGATTTCCTTTGGCTTTTCTTTAGGCAGCCACCATTCTAACACACACCTGAATGTGACCACCTCAACATTAGGAAGCTCATGGCAGATTGATATCTATATGATTAAAAAGAAAAAAAAAACAAATAAAATATTAGCAAAACTTCAGTCTTCCAAGGAGAAGGAACAATTAACTGATTGATTAGAAATATTGTATTTAAGCATCTGTAACAGAAGCACCATAGTACAACACATTCTTATGTCAATTGAGGCCAAAATGCACTGAATCCAAATATTTGATGGATTGATTGAACTACAGAGATCAGTTGAGTTAACAGTTTTTCTATTTCAAAGTAATCTACATTATTACTGGGTGCTATTTTTCAGAATCTCAAGAACAGTATTCTTTAGAACAGTGATTCTCAACTTTGGTAACTTTAAGATGTGTGGACTCCTAGAATTTCCCAATCAGCTGGGGAAGGCTGAGACCTTCTGGAAATGGAAGTCTATGCATCTTAAAGCTGCTAAGGTTAAGAAACTGCTCTGGAATATAAAAGCAGGTCTTTTTTTTATCTTGATATGCGAGGGATTGAACCTTTTCCAAACAAATATACATTATAACTTGTGCTTTCCTGAATGACTGTTCAGATATACAGTGCAACTGAGAGTCCGTTAAAACTGTGTCAATCAAGCAAGGTAAATCACAGTGATATAACACTTCCAAATGATGTGTCAATCCTCTACCTCTTCTCCCTGGCCATTTCAGCATGAAGTACTTGTAGCTAAAGGTGGCTCAAAATTACATCACTGCCAGCACCTCAGCCCTCTAATAACTATTTTTCCAATGAGAAAGAAGCAAAGTACCTACTGATGAGTCTTTGCTTCTTCCCTGGATTTGGTATCTTGACTTTATTCCAGTCAGAAATTCACAATCCTCTACTGAGAACAGATTATGAGAGAACCAATATACCAACAATTATTTCCATTTCTTACAAATTAGAAACTTAGAAATGGTACTTACATCTGAGATGTGGCTTCCCCTAAAAAAGAACACATTTAAAAGGCATATATAAAATAGCACATTAACTAAAGCAATATTCGCACTAAAGAAAGCCATATATGACAGAACAATTGGAGCCCTCCACAAATGCCCTTTGTTCTTTTAGTGAGCCTGTGAAAGGCAGCATGGCCTACTTATGACCTGCTATATACATTTAGTTGATTTCTCTGCCTATGCTCATATGTGCACAGATACTATTCCATTTAGCTAGGTCAACAAGTGTGTGCATTATAATGGGGGAAGAGCTATTTTCCCAATATTTCAAGGGGAACCCCACATTTCTGGAAAGATGTTAAACAGAAACAGGATCTACAGAAAACAGAGCTGTAATCACAGTGGAGCAGCCACTCTAGTCCTTATCCCCAGGGAACCTATAATTTGGAATGAATGAAAACAAAGTTCTTTATTCTGATTGATTTTACAATGTATTATGTAACAATTTCAAAAGTAAGACATTTCAGACAGAGAAAACAAGAGTGGTGGGATAAGTGTACGATATTTCTGAATGATAACTTCAGAATATTTTTGGAAGGAAATGAAAGGACTGCAGTTGTTGAGAAAAAGGAAAAGAAAAATACAGAGAGATATAGTAATAAGGCATATATGCTATCTAATACCAAAAAGAAAAGTATGGAAAAATATTTTTCAAATGAGCCAAAAAAATCTTATAAACAGCCTGCAGCTGTCAGGAAGATAATTAGGAAGAAACAATGGCTTCAAGTAGCCTTTTCCAGAACAGTAAAAAAAAAAAAAAAAATTCAGTTTCAAATATGCAACCATGAAACTCAAAAAGGAACAGCTGAGTGATGGATGGTCTACCTACACAATAGTGTATATTAATCAGGCTGTATTTGGCTAAATTCTGAATAGATTTAGAACCACTCCATATACAGTGCTAGACAGGTCCAGATGAAATCAGGATAATGTAACTTTATGCATTTTAAAAAGAGATAAATGAACCCAAGGTAATTGGGGGGGGCATAGCTGGATGGATCAAAGTCAAGTTTTACTACCTTTTTTATGCCACACACTTAATGAATGCAAGGGAAAGAGAAGTGGTGAAGGAAAATAGGCTATGAACCGAAAGATAGAAAAGAGAATTAAAAAAATGACCAGATAATGAAATGTGATTTTTAATAGTGCAAAACACAAAATATTCTGAAATGGCATATAGTACTAGTAATCAATATTTACATGGTGGCTTTAATCGTTACTGGGACGGAATTCTTTCGCAATTCAACATCTCTGGATTTAGGAATCAGAAGAGTCTACAACGATTGAATTTCAGGAATTCACTTTTTGCTGGGCAAAGCCTTTATAAAAATTCTGCAAGGCACCCTGTTCTCACCACTGAACCTCTCGGTACTAGACCTCTTGGTGCCCGTTAAGAAGACAACAGAGCAAATTAAAATCGAAAAGCAGAAGCTCTCCAATCCCTGCCCGAACTACAGCGACCAGCATCCCAGCCGCCACGGCCAATGGCAAGGAACGCCGGAAACTGCAGTTAATATGAAAGGCCACCGGGGCTCACTCCTCACCAGCAATTCAGCTTGCGGACCCCTGCAAGGCTCGTAGCTTTCGCTCGAGCCAGAACCGCTTTACGAGTCAATTTCATGGTCCCCGCACAACCATCGGACTTCTCGTGTCTCTTAGCTAAGGCTGGCTTGGGAATTTCCGACGCGTTTCCCACGACGACTCCAGGCGCAGGCGCCATCATCTCCATCCCACTCCCAGCGGAGAGTGACAACCAGAGGCGGAACTTAACTGTCTATTCCCACCCCCTCGTCGCCGCCACGCCCATTAACGACGGCGCACAAGCCTGAGCAACCACTGCAGGGGAGGGGTCGGTTGTAGCGATCCCGGGAGTTGAAATGGGCAAGCGGGAAGGTTTCTTTACTGTCGTAGTCGTGCCGCTGCTCGGCGCTTCACGGCGGGCTTATCCATCGAACTGTTGCCCGTGATAGCTTCCTACCTTACTTGGGCATTAGACTGCTTGCGTGTCACAATAAGTGCACCCATATTTGTCAACTGTCCTTTGGAGTGGGGCTGATCGACGTTTGGGGATGGACCTCGTATTTTTTATTACTTGAATATTTGCTTTCCCACCTACTTTTATTCAGCCTTTTCTCTCTAAAATAAAAATTAACACATCTGGTTTCACCCATTTGTGCTTCATTTTCTTAACACTTATGTCGTACTCTGAGTCAAACGAGGCAGACTGCATGCAGCGTTACTGTGGATTGTAGAAGCATAATAAGCAAAAATTGTTAAGCCTCATGCATAAATAAGATTAAGTAGTTTTATTTAAGGCAGGGGTAGGCAACCCAAAACACTCAAAGAGCCACTTGGACCCGTTTCCCACCAAAAACAAAACACTGGGAGCCGCAAAACCCTTTTGATATCTAAAATGAAGATAACACTGCATATATCCTTTTTTACCTTTATTATAGGTGTGTGTATGTGTGTGTGTGTGTGTGTGTGTGTGTGTGTGTGTGTATATATATATATATACATACACACACACAGAGACACACACACACATATACACATTAAAAATAAAAGTAAAAATATGACTCTTGGGAATATCCATACTATTAAAACAAAATGATCACCAAGAGAATGCTTTAAGAGAATAAAATTACATACACACACAGGTAAAAAAAGGATATATGCAGTGTTATCTTCATTTTAGATGTCAAAAGGGTCTCTCTCTCCCTCCCTCTCTATCTGCTCTTGGTCTGCCACTCCTCTTCCCCCACTCTCTCTCTCTCCCTCTCTCTCTCTTTCTCTCTCTCTCTTTCTCCCCCCCCCTCCTATCTGCTGCTCACCTGGCAAGCTTCAAGCTGTTGTCCAACAATCTCCGGGGTAGGCAACCTCATCTCTTTTATGACTCATGGACTTCAACTCCCAGAATTCCTGAGTCAGCCTAGCTGGGCTAGCTAGCTCTCTCCTGCCCTTCCTGCTTCCTTCAGAGACGCAGCAAAGGGAGGAGCTCCGCCCTGAAAGCTTTTCAGCTCCTCGGAGAACGCTGTGAGTGCACTCTCTTTTACACACACACACACACACACACACACACACACACACACACACAACACACACACACATCCAGACACACACACACACACACAGAGAGAGAGAGAGAGAGAGAGAGAGAGAGAAGCAGGGAAGTGCAATTGCCTCTCTCTGTCTCTGTCTCTCTCTGCAAAGGCAGAGGAGGCTGGGAGCCACAGGGGAAGGCTCAAAGAGCCGCATGTGGCTCCGGAGCCGCAGGTTGCCGACCTGTGATTTAAGGAATGACAGAGATGAACTGCCCAACATCTAATTGATTATGCATAATCAAGTTGTTTTTGACCTCGTGGATTTTCTTCAAGACTCTTCGTAGTCCCCCTTAATCAGTGCTTTTTTTGAAAAAAAAAAAAAAGGTGTCGGAACTCACACATGTGCTACAACCCGCCTTGCCTACCCTACAAGGTTCCATCCAAAAAAGATGCCGGAACTCCCTTCTGGGCATTCTATGACAAAAGAAGCCCTGCCCTTAATGCTTAATCTGTTTTTTCATGTTCCCCAATAGTACATTGAGTGCATCTAACAGTCTTGTTGTTGGCTATTTTTTTCTTCCTTTTCCTTCTGCTTTTCCCAGCATTGGAGCTTCTTTTCAATGAGCTGAGTCCAAAGTAGGATAATTTGAATCTGGTCATTTGTGCCTTGAGTGAGAACTCTAGATTGATTGCTTTTTTGGCTGTTCACGATATACTTAAAAGTTTACTCCAACACTATGATTCAAAAGCATCAATTCTCTTCCTATCCTTTAAATTCTAACTTTCATTTCTACAGAGTGTTACAGGGAATACCATGGCATGCATATTTCTGATCTTTGTATGTTAGACACATCACAGCATTTGAATATCTTTTCCAAAGATTTCATGGCTGGTCTACTGAATGCTAGTCTGCATCATGTATCTTGACTATTTGTTCCATTACTATTAATGATTGTTAAAGGCAGAAGTCCCATATATTTATTTTTTTCCACCATGTTCTTGGACCTTTAGTACAAGGGCTTGCAGATCCTTTGCATTTTCAGCTACCAGGGTAGTGTCAAATTATTGATGGTTCTTCCTCTAATTTTAAAATCACTTCACCTTTTCAATCCAGCTTCCCTTACTATATATTCCATAAATAGGTTGAATAAATAAGGGGGAAAATGTTAGCCTTTTTACACTCCTTTGCCAACCTGAAGCCAATCTGTTTCACCATGTTCTGACTGGATTGTGGCTTCCTATCATGTATATATGTTTTTCATGAGGACAATGAGGTGTTCTTGGATTCCTAGTTTTCTGAGCATATTCCACAACCTGATGTAATTGATACAACCAAAGGCTTTTCTATAATCCATGAAGTACATACTGACCTTTTTGTATATTCTTTGGCTTTTTCAATTAACCAGTGTACATCAGCAATAACCTCTTGTGTTCTTCAGGCTTTTTTAAAGCTAGCTTGAGCATCTGTCATCTCTTTTTCCATCTAGGGGTCTAATCTGAGCTGGATGATCCTAAGCATTATTTTGCTTCCATGTGAAATTAAGGATATTGTATGATAGTTTGCACACCCTATTGAGACTCCTTGTTTGGCCACTGTATTATTGGCCACTGTATTATTCTCCAGATTTTCTTGGTTAGAACTGTGGTTGATTTTTCTTCTGTAACTTGCAATATTTCAGTGGATATTCCATCAATTCCTGTTGCTTTCTGACTTAGTAATAACTGGAGTGCTGATCAAACGCCACCTTCTAGTATTAGATTCTTTTAAGTAAACAATATCTTGTAAGATATCTTAGATGTTGATATATTTACTATATAGCGTTTCAACATACTAGTTCCATCTTCCTTTGATCTTCTTTAAAGTAGTTACTGTCTGTCAACTGGATGTCCTTTAGCAAACTAATTTGAGGTTGCAATCTCCTCCTGAGTTCAAAGATCTTTTGAAAGGCTTGTTGTTTCCTTGTTTCTATTTTCAATGTCTTTACAGATGTTGTAATACTGGTTCTTGTCTCTTTTGATAGTTCTTTGAAACTCTTTGTTAAGTTCCTTTCTAAGATTTTTGTCCTTCTTGGCTTTGGCTTATCTTCTCTTCTTGGCAGTTCTCATGGTTTGTTCTGACATCCAGTTTGCTTTCTTCTCTTTTTTCATTTTAGGTGGTCTTTTTATGTTCATCCTTAACTCATTCTTTAAATTTCTTCCATTATTCCTTTGGTTCTCTATCAATGAGGTTCAGAACTTCAGAGCGAGTTTTGATGTTCTCCTTGAGCATGTTCAGAATCATATTGTGAAAATTTACTGGCTTTCTTATTCTTCTTAGCTTAACTTGGAGCTTGAACATCAGCAGATCTGTTCCACAATCAGCACCTGGCCTTGTCTTTGATGCTATAATTGAGCTCCACATCCTTTTATCAACAATGTAGTCAGTTTGATTTACATATGCTCCATCTAGTAATATCTATGAATGGAGGCATCCTTTTGATTGTTTGCAAGCAGCTATGAAGAAATCATTGGAGTGAGAGAAATTGATAAATTGCTCTCCTGCTCCCTTTTGCTTTCCTAAGGGATACAAGCTCATCTTGCTTGTACGTTCTATCAATTTTAAATTGAATTTCATTATAGAAGTCATCAACCTTCTCTTCTTCTGCATTGGTGGTTGGAGTATTAATTTGAATCATCATCATATTAAAGGTTGTCCATAAAGTTTAATCAATTGATTGCATTGCAGCCAAGTACTGTTCTTGCAGTACAGTGTCTAACCACAAAAACAACACCGTTTATTCATTGTTGCATGTCGTGAGTAATTAAAAATTTGATTTGACTGAAAGTGTCCAATCCTAGTCCATCTAAATTTGCTGATGCCTAAGATGACAATTTGTAGTCATTTCATTTCATCTTTTACTGTGTTAAGCTTTTCTTATGCTTCTTATGTTCCATGTACCTACAATCCATGTAATCCTATCTTTCCAACTTTGGATTTTCTTTTTCTGTATGGCAACATCAACACCATAACTAGACATTCCAAAAGCTTTAATCTAGCCATGATAAATACCATTAGTATTCTGAAAAATCCTCAGCTCTTCATGTTGAGTCCAAACTGAGGAGGCCATCAACTAGCATTACATTGTCAATTATTCTATATTTTCTATCCATGTGATTTCTTGGTAAAAATACAAGAGTAGTTTACCATTGCCTTCTCCACACAATATGATTTGATGCCTTTACCATTGTAAAGTAATCATCTGCCTCCAGCATCTTCCTATATCACTATGACCCAATATAGGTGCTCGCTTGTTTTAGCTGGAAAGTTAGGATGACCTTCATGCTTTGGGGGACCCACTTGAGAATATATATGGTTGGCATACACTCCCATGCTCATTGCTCATCCCTCCCAGGGATACCTCCTCCCCATCACAATGAAGTAGCACAGGAGGATGGGGGGGCGGCTAGGGGGAACATCTAATAATATGTCTCTAGTGTACAATATATCCCACTTTTTCTCCCTAGTCTAAGCAACATACATAGGGATTTCCCTTTTTTATCAGCATAACAGAAACCTTTAATGTAGAATGAGCAGAGATAATAATAATAATAATAATAATAATAATAATAATAAAGTTGGAAAGGACCTTGGAGATCATCTATTCTAGTCCAACCCCCTGCTCAGGCAGGAAACCCTATACCATTTCTGACAAATGGCTGTCCAGTTTCTTCTTAAAAACTTCCAATGCTGGCACATTCACCGCTTCTGGAGG